TCCCCCCTCCCCCTCCCTCCCCCCTCCCCTTCCCCCCTTCCCCCCTCCCCCTCGCCCCCCTCCCCCCCCCCCCCCTCCCCCCTCGCCCCCCCCCTCAACCTCACTTCCAACCACCCCATCTTCGTCTTCCTCTCGGGCTGCTTACTCGGTTTGTCCACAGGTCGCCAAACTCGAACGCCATGCCTCCACCGACCGCGTCTCCGAGTGCGGTGGCTGGAGTGTTGGAGGACCGGCGGTGGGCGGCTGGCCGGTCGGCTGCTGTCGCCTCGTCGTTTCGCCGGCCGCCGTCCCTGATCTTCCTCACAAGGGGGGAGGGGGGAGGGAAGGCCTATCCAGACCACTCCCTACGCTTCGACCTTTAGAGGTTGCTGGTGGACCAGACGGGGCTGGTATGCGTGAGGCGAGCGGGTTTGTGAAGCGCCGGGTTTTTCCGTTGTGGTGGTGGGCGGTGGTGGCGGTGGTGGCGGTGGCTGGCTGCCTGGCGGTGGCGGTGGCGCTCGGCTGGCAGCAGCCGGCGGCCAATGCGCGGCGAACGGTGGGCGCGATTGGGCTGGACGAGGTGGGCGTGGACGGGGTGCTACATGGGGTGCGGCTGCCGTCGGGGTGGGTTATGCCGCGAATTGGGCTGGGAATGGCAGCGATAGGCCCGGGCGCGCCGTCGCGGGCGGCGATGGAGACAGCGCTGGAGCTCGGGTACCGGAGTTTTGACACAGCCGCGTTCAAGGCTGTGTGGTACGCCAACGAGGACGTGGTGGGCGAGGTGGTGGCGGAGGCGAAGAACGTGGTACGAAGCGAGCTGTTCATCACCACCAAGCTCCATCCAGCCGACCATGGCCCGGGTGCGGCGGCGGCGGCGATCGCGGCCTCGCTCCGCAACTTGAGGACTAGCTACATTGACCTCATGCTCATCCACTACCCCGAGTGCTGGAGCGATATCTGCGATGGCATGGGCACGCCCGACGGCGACTGGCGCGACTCTTGGCGGGTTCTCGAGGCTGCAGTCGAGGCAGGCACCATCCGCTCGATCGGAGTCTGCAACTTTTCTCCGCGGGAACTGGCCGAGCTTGGAGCGCTGGCGCGGATCCCAGTCTCGGTCGTCCAGTCGCGTTACGATGTGCTTCAAGCGGGCGTGGACGACGCTGTAGTCGCTGCAGCCACGGGCATCGGTGCCGTGTTTACCGCTTACTCTCCGCTTGGCGGCCAGTACTGGAACGCAGCAGTCAACCCTGTCCTCTCCCATCCGACGGTGACCGCCATCGCTGCCGAGCTGGAGACTTCCCCCGCCCATGTTGTTCTCCGCTTCCTACTCCAGCGCGGCATGACTGCGGTGCCGCGCTCGACCTCGCGTGCGCACATGGCCGCCAATCTCGCGACCTTGTCGCCTCCCGGGCTGACTCCCTCCCACATGAGGGCTATGCGTGCGCTGTAGAGCCGTTGAGGACTTGATTTGGTTCCAGGTTGTGTAACGTGCGAGGAAAAGCAGACGATCGGATTCATGATACAGCAATGATACAGCACCAGTAGAGGGCACTGGGAAGGGTGGCCGCCAGGGTGGAGGGGGGGGTGGGTGGGGAAGGCTGAGTCCATTGGGGGGTGACAGGATTTTTTGCCGTCAAAGAAGCAGGCCCCACGGCTTGCCACCTCCCGCCGAGGGAGGAGGGGAGGAG